AAAAAAAAAACTAAGATCATGGCCACTGGGGTCCCATCACCTCCTGGAAAATAGAAGGGGTAGGATATGGAGGCATCATTTACAACACAGATTGGTGAGAACTAGAGATGGGGATTTACAGCAGTTCGGCACAATTTGCTGGATTGGGCCCACAGGAGTTGTGCTGGCACCCCAGATTCCGCACCCTGCCTCCTCCTGAAGGCGCCCAGTGAGAGGAGGAGGCAGGGCAGGGAAGCCTCTGGCACTGCTTCTGATGGGGCGCCTGCAGGAGGAGGCGGAGTGTGGAATCCAGGATGCCTGCGCAACACCCATGGGCCCAGTCGGGCAAACCGTACTGAACCACAGTGAATGCCCATCTCCAATGCGAACCATGATTGCCCTTCACTTGGCTACTGCTGAAGTGACCTGTAGTTATATGCCATCTGGGAAGAGTTATGCCTTGGTCTCAGAATCCCGAAGTGATCTGGATATAGAGGCTGAGGCCAGTGGCGCTAGCAGAGGAGACCTTCAAACCTGTGATGCTGGAACTTGGAACTCAAGCTCCTCTGCCAGCTCACTCACCTGGATGTGATCCTTGACTGCTTATGCCAAACAGTTTAATGCTCGGGAGGAGAGGACAGAATACTTAAACCAAGGACCTCTCCCTTCATGGCCTTCCCCCTTTCCATGAAAGTGCAACCTAAGAAAACATTATGGAAACCCCTGCATCAAAAGCTCCAGTGTTGCCCCACATCTGGTTGGGAGTACGCAGCTTGGCAGGAACTCTCCTTGACTCTATGACAAAAGGCCACTTTTGCTGTCGTTTCCCCAACACTATCCCAGAGGTTCCTCTGTACGATCAGAAAAGTTTAGCCTGTTAGGAAAGCACATTGGAGAAGAGATTCTTAAAAGAGGTAAGAAAATAGGGAGACCAACCAAAGAGTGTGGCCTGCCTGGATGCTGCTCACAAAGGGAAAGGCCCCAGATACTCACTTGTTATCTTCTTCCACAATGAGGAAGAGATGACTGAGACCATTCCGGCTAATGAACTCCTGAGCAAAGGCTACATCATGGGAGAGGCTTGCCAGCTTTTTCAGAGAATCAGACTTCACATCCAAGTTGTTGCTTTGAATCCCACCGTGAAGCTTTGCAGCCTCCTGATCCTGCCAAGGAGGAATTTGAAAGAGAAATCTTTACTGTTCTGCACACCTTAACATGGCTCAGTGTGTCAGGGAAGCCAAGAGCAATGCTATGAAGAAGTCAGACTGCATTACAAGCCGGGACCCTGAGCAAGGTCCCTCAAGGTGGCATGTTTGCAGCTGAGGCACCAGACTAAGAGGCATCCGCCCTCTTCAGGAGGAATGGCCATATCAGCAGAACAGAAGGAATAGCTGCAATGGTGATGGAGGCAGAGAAACCTCTGGAGGGCAGCAGCTGAAGGTGATGCTGGCAGAGAAATGGAACGTTTAAAGATTGCAGTCCTTGGTATCAATGAACTAAAACGGACTGGAATTGGACATTTTCAGTCAGACAACTACAAAGTATTTTACTCTGGAAATAACAAATTGAGAAGAAATGGAGTGGCTCTAATACTGAGGCAAGATGTAGCACAGGCAGTTAGGGGCTACAATGCAAAGTGTGACCAAATAGTATCAACCAGACATCTGGAAAACCTATCAACATAACCATCATTCAAATACTGTAGTTTATTTAATGTGATCGTTGTCCTTGCATCTGGGCAATCAGCTTCCAAATGCATTGCTGAGTGTTTGTTAAAGCCACTCCCCTGCCCCCAATAGTCCCTTAACCAGGAGGCGGAGGAAACTGGGGAGAGGGTGACTTTTGCCCTTTTCACCCTCCCTTCAAGAGTTGCAAACAGTGAAAGAAAAGGACTGTCCAAATGGTCAAAAGATATGGAGTACTTTGAGGAAAGGCTAAGGAAAAAACAACAACAATTAAAATGAAGAGGAGATACTCTATACAAGCTTACAGAAATTAGGCATATCTCTGAGCCTGGATGCCCAGGTTTCAGCAGTGGCCAGGAGAGCTTTTGCACAAATACAGTGGTGCCTCACTTGACAATTACCTCGTTAGACGAGGAAATCACTTGATGATGTTTTTGCGATCGCTTTTGCGATCGCAAAATAATGTTTTAATACACAAAAATTGCTTCACGATGATCGGTTCCCTGCTCCGGGAACTAGTAAAACTAGGGTGCCAGCTGTGCCCATTTCTGGAAAGATCTAATCTGGCCATGGTGGAATATGCCTTAGTTACATCCTGGCCAGATGAATGTAATGTTATCTATGTGGCTGCCTATGGAAAGTGTCCAGAAACTTCAGCGGGTCTAAAACGTAGTAGTCAGATTGTTGACTGGGGCTGGTTACAGGAATCACATAACCCCCATTTTACAGCAGCTCCACTGGCTGCCAATCCATTTCCAGGTTGAATTTGTTGGTTCTAACCTATAAAGCACAAAAGGGCTTGGTCCCAAGCTATCCCAAGGACTGCATCTCCCTTTACGAGCCTGCTTGAGTGTTAAGAGCATCAGGAAAGGCCTTTCTCTCGATCCTGTCACCTTCCCAGGTGGGTTTGGTGGGTACAGGGAAGACGGCCTTCTCTGTGGTTGCTCCCAGACACTGGAACTCCCTCCCACAGGAGGCCAAACTGGCCCCATCTCTGCTATCATTCTGCAAGCAGGTGAACACCTTACTTTTCAGGCAAGCTTTCCTTGACTGATTGGCTGCCTATGTGGGGCTTTTTAATTAATTGTTGTATCTTAATGCTTTGAATGTGTTTTGGCGTTGTTTTTTTGTATGGTATCTGTTTGATCCTTTTTAGTATTTGTATGCACACCATTGTTAGCTTTCATATTGCCTTTTACTGATGAAAGCCGCCTTGTATCCTTTTAACGAGAAAGGTGGGCTAAGATATTTTGAAATAAATAAATAAACTCTCCCTTTATACCAAGATTCCCGGTTAATGAGCGATTCCCAGTATTTTCAGCATAGAGGGTTTCATTCTATACTGTGTGATCTACATGCAAAATTCATGGCCACAAGATGTGATTCCAGTGTGGATCATGGTTGGACAGGAGACAGATGAGCATCCATTGGTAGATCTATGACTGATTTGCAGTCCATCACTAACAATAAATTTCTGCCATGGCTAATCTTGTACAAACTACTTAATTCTTAACCTCAGAGAGTATGAGAAACAGGGAGTACTATTCGACTCTTTTTAGCATGTCTTTGTTCCAGCTTTGCTTGCCAGTTTTAAGAGTACTGCAAGAAAATTTCCTGGACTCTGAATTCTCATCTATGAAACTGTATATATCCCAAGACAACCAATAGTAGATAATTGACTCTACCCTTTTTTAAATCATCATTTTGAGTCTGCCTCTAATTGGCAGATTTTACTCTCCCAGTAAACAAACAAAAACAGAATAGGTCCCTCAAGCTGACCCAGCTTAACTGCTTCTGAAAGACAATTACACAAACTCACATCTTACAAGATGATGTTAGAACCTACCGGAGCAGTTGTTAGTTGCAGGATGCTCCCATTTTTAATCTCTCCACGATTCTAGCAAAACAAGACAGGAAAATGCAATCAAAACCCTACATCTAGCACTGTGCACAAGATCAGGCTAAGAGGCAAGGTAGCTTAGTGTAGGCCGAGGAAATGGGAGTTCTCAATGAGCCACGGAACACATCACGGAAATTTTGTGGGAACAGGTGGTTGTGTATGTCAGCAGAAGCTCATTGGAGAAATTAACTTATTAAAAAGCAATTAATAAACAAAACACTAAAAGAGCTTCTAGATCAACCTTGCATAAAAACAACAACGTTTCTAGCTTATAAACAAGCTAAAAGCTGTAGAGAGTGCCCATTAGTGGTAAGATGGATTTATACATTAGGTAGAGTGAAGGGATGGAACACACCCTCCCTCCTCTGCCAACTCACTTACCTGTAGGCAGTCCTCGACTGCTTATGCCAGCCAGGCTAATGCTTAAATACAAGGCTGCTCCAGATAATTTTTCAAATGCACTCACCGATTCTGTGATATATGCTTGATGGCCGTCCACATATTGTAGAGCATAGCGCTCTGAATTATTCAGGTTCCACCTATATTAGAAACCACCAATCAGAGTTCTGCTATGACAAGAAGCAAAGAAGCCAACAAAACCTGAAGCAAGCAATATGGCCACCTCCAAAAAATGCTCCCACACCCCCATAAGGAGATCAAACACTCAAAAAACTTTTTGTCATGCTCTGGATGGCCAAGAATTCTTTAGAGAATGAAGATCAGGATAATGTACCAAAACCAGAACTACAGCAACCTCATATCCCCAAATGGAACTGAAATGAACTCTCCCAATAGGAAAGCAACGGTCTCCTGGCAAACAACCCAAAGTGTACAGGATGTCCAATGTTTTGAGAGGGGTTGCAATCTACCACTGTTACCCCATCTCAGTTTTCACTGGCTTCACAGCAGCCTGACAAACCTGCTCCAAGTCATTCCAGTGGGACAAGGTGGCCCAGCAAACCTTTTGACAGCTGATGGGAGTTATTTATATTCAGGTGAACCTGTATCACCTGCAACCTTGCACTTTTTGGTACCTCCAAAGGGGTGGTCCTTTTCGTATCCTGTGCACAGCTCTCCTGAAAACTGACCCCAGCTAAGTGTAATTATACCCTCTGGACTAAGACACTCCTAGCCACTAACGTGGCCTTCAAAGTTTGGCAGCAGCTGTACTGCACACCCAGAATTTCAGGTTTCTCACACAAACCACCACAACTTGTAATGCTTCCAGAAAGCACACAAGGTCATGGAATCACAGAATCATGAAGTTGGAAGGAGCCTATAAGGCCAGTGAGTCCAACCCCCTGCTGAGGGCAGAAATATAAATCAAAGGATATCTGTCAGGTGGTTGTCTAAATTTCTCTTGAAGGCCTCCAGCGTTGGAGTGCTCAACACCTCTTGAGGTAACTGCTTCCGCTGTCGTATGGCTCTAACAGTTAGGAGGTTTTTCCTGATAGTCAACCGAAATCTGGCTTCCTGTAACTTGAGCCCATTGTTGTGTGTCCTGCATTCTGGGATGACTCAGTACAGAACCTTCCCCTCCTCTGTATGGCAGCCTTGCAAGTACAGTGGTGCCCCGCAAGACGATGATAATCCATTCCACTGAAATAGCTGTTTTATGAAAACACTGTCTTGCGAAAAGTGTTTCCCCATTGGAATGCACTGAAATCCGTTTAATGCATTCCAACGGGGAAAATAGTTGTGGTTTTGCGAAAATCGCCCATAGGGAAGCCATTTTGCGAAGCGCGATCAGCTGTAAAAATCGCTGTCTTGCGAAGCATCGGTCCCGAAAACACCCGTTCTGCGAAGATCGCCCACAGGGAAGCCATTTTGCGGAGCCGCCAATCAGCTGTAAAAATCGCCGTCTTGCAAAGCATCGGTCCCGGGGGAGGGGGGACCGTCCTGCGAAGCACGGACCGAAACGTTGTATAGCAAAAATCGCCCATAGGAAACACTGTTTTGTGAAGCACAATGGCGGTCGCAAAACCTCGTCATCATGCGGATTTGTCGTTTTGCGAGGTAATTGTGCTGCGAGGTACCACTGAATTTGAAAAGTGCTATCATATCACCCCTCAGTCTTCTTTTCTCAAGGCTAAAGCATGCCCAGTTCTTTCAGTCTTCCCTCACAAGGCTTGGTTTCCAGCCCCGCTGATCATCCTTGTTGCCCTTCTCTGAACTTGTTCTTATTTGCTGTTATCCTTCTTAAGGTGTCCAGAACTGGACACTGCACTCAAGATGAGGCCTAACCAGTGCCAAACAGAAATAAACTAGTACTTGGCGAGATTTGTTAAGGCAGGATAAAATAGCATTTGCCTTTTTTGTAGCCACATCACACTCCTGGCTCATACTCAGCTTGCAATCTACATTGACTCCAAGATCCTTCTCACTTGCAGTATTGCTGAGCCAAGGATCCCCCATCTAGTAACCAGCCACAGAGGAGGTAGTCCTTGTGCTTCATGCAGTCTACATTTAAGGTGAACTACATCCCCCACTGCTGGAACTGGCAGGCCAATATCTTGTCCAGGAAACCCAAATACAGTATACACTGGTGAAGGACAAGTGTAGCGAACAGCCCTGTCCTTCTCACTTGCAGTATTGCTGAGCCAAGGATCCCCCATCTAGTAACCAGCCACAGAGGAGGTAGTCCTTGTGCTTCATGCAGTCTACATTTAAGGTGAACTACATCCCCCACTGCTGGAACTGGCAGGCCAATATCTTGTCCAGGAAACCCAAATACAGTATACACTGGTGAAGGACAAGTGTAGCGAACAGCCCTGCCCTCACCTGTCCGTCACAGCTGAACAGTGGAGTAGGAGCCAATGAGAGGAGAGAAGGTGGAGCCAAGGGGGGAGGGGGCTGGATATAAAGGCTGGCGTATGGGGCCTGGGAGAGATTCTGTGAGTGAGAGACAGTGTGAAACTTAAAAGTGAACTTAGAGTGAGTTAGAGATCTGTAAGAACTCTGAATTGAACAGAGTGTTAGTAGAAGTTTAGAGTTAAGGTAGAACTGATTCAAATACAAGTGATTAGCAACCTGTGATTTGCTTATTGAATATTAATCATATGTCAATTTTCCTGATTTAATAAATCATGTAAGTTTTAAAAGCACACTTGTCTCCCTGATTAAATGGTATTGAAGCGGCAATACCTGGTGGCAGCGAAGAAAGAAGAAGGGCGAGAACCTTGTGAAGGCCTGAGGGGTTAGGGGCTTCAGAGGGGATCGCCACAACAAGGTACCTAGACTATAGTACACAGTAATAGCCTAGGTTCTTACCAAGAAGATCCAGAGACAACAAGTGCAAGACCTCTCTATGCACACCCACAAGAAGAACTCAGCACCCTTGGAGGGTTCTGCAGAGCACCGTACTTGGTGAATAACAGTCTTCTTTACCACAAACACTGCTTCTACATCCCTCCAGGTTCAAGCCAGATGAAGATGTTCATACTGTACAACAACATCCTGCTTGCATGACATTTTGCGCTTTACAAGTCCCTCCACCTCATCACCTGGAGTTGTGGCCTAAAGTACAGTGGTGCCTCGCTTAACAAGCGCCCCGTTTAACGACAAAATCACATAGCGATTAGGTTTTTGCGATCGCAAACGCAATCACATAACAATGTTTTGAATGGGAAAAATCGCTTTGTGATGATCGGTAAGCTGTTTCGCTTACTGATTTTTGCATAGCGAAAATGGCCGCCGGGGGAAAAAATGGTTGCCCGTTCTTTTTTGGGACGGATTCCTCGCTTACCGGGCAGTGAAAATGGCTGCCGGATGGAGGATTTTTGCTTAAAGGTAAGTTTTTACCCCATTGGAACGCATTGAAGGGGTTTCTATGCGTTTCAATGGGGTTTTTAAAATCGCATAGTGATGTTTTCGGTTAGCGGCGATTTTTGCCGCACCGATTAACATCACTATGCGAGGAACCACTGTACATGTTAATGTGGCAAGCCATGTTGGTTCATGTCACCTTAGACCAGGGGTCCCCAAACGTTTCAGTATGAGGGCCACAAGACAGAAGTCTGGGGAAGGGTGGGAGCTTCATTGTTTCCCTGCAGCAGATAGGCTGAGAGAGAGTGTGTGCATGCGTTAGGGCAGGGGATGAGCAAGAGATCAATCTTGTTGCCAGGCACTGTTAGAGAAGGTGGGGAGGCAGGGGCAGGGTGGGAAATATCCTAGACTGGGCTGGATAAAAAGGCAGGGGCTGGATGTGGCCCGCGGACCGTACTTTGGAAACCCCTGTCTTAGACTAATAGTGACTCTATGAGTGACCTCTAAAAAGTCCTGTCATTCATAGCCCTGTTCAGCTCTTGAAAACTCAAGCCTGTTGTTTCCTTTATGAAATCAATCCATCTCAGATTTGTCTTCCTTTCTCTAATGCCTTCAACTTTTCCTTTTAACATTGTGTTTTTCAGCAATATATACATATACATCTACCAAACAGTAAACGTGCTTTTCAAATCCCCACTCTGTGCTTTTTTAAATATCTTGTCTAATGAGAGGATGAGCTCTCAAAACCTTGGAAACATTTTTGTGCCTATTTGATTGGTCTAAGATGTTACTGAGCTAATACAAATCTTGATACCTGCAAACATATATTTTCAACTTACTAAGGAATGGGAGCTACAGACTTGCTTACTGAAAAAAGGAAAACATTAAACACGACCCTGGGCACTCTGATCACAGAAAGCTGAATTCTGTACCCAGTATACAAGGGGGTGCTGATAAGTACTGAGCCTTTCCCAGAAAAAATTGAGCTAGGAAGCTATACATTGCAGGGTGTATTGGCTAATTTGTCTGTATTCAATGGTGCAAAAATCAACTATGATTTTAACTTATCTTTCACGTTCAGGTCCAAAGTGAACATGGCAGCACCTCCAGAAAAGTGGAACAGCATAAGACCAGAATCAAGTTCCTGTTTCTCCAAGGGAAAGGTGCAAAGCAGATCCATGATGAAATGTCACAAATTATGGATGACAGTGGCCTTCATATGCAACAGTTAAACGATGGGTTGTAAATTTTAAAATTGGCCATTTTGGTTTTGAAAGTGAGAAACCCAGTGGAAGGCCTGTTTCTGTCTCTGTGCCTGCAAATGTAAAAGCCATCCATGTCATGATCATGGAGGACCACTGAATATCAGCCAAGGGTATTGCTATATATCTGAGAATATCACGTGAGAGAGCTGGTGCCATTATCCATGATGACATGGAAATGAGGAAGCTAGCAGCAAAGTGGATCCCCAAACTTTTGACAACCGAACAAAAGAGGAAACGTGTGGAGTCATTGGTGGCTGTTTTGGAACATTTTGCAAGAAATGAGTCAGATTCCTTGGGCAAACTGGTAACTGGTGATGATGGATCTACTGTTATGATCCTGAGACAAACGAACCATCTAAGGAATGGAGGCACAGTGGTTCCCCCAGGCCAAAGAAGTTCCGAGTGCAAAGATTGATGCAGAAGCAAACGGCAACAGTTTTTTGGGATAAGAAGGGAGTTCTGCTGGTGGACTACCTCCAACAGGGTTCAACCATCAATGCAAAGTATTACTGTGCTTTATTGACGGAGATGAGGCAAAACATCAAGGAAAAACGTCGAAGAAAGCTCTTCAAAGGTGTCATCCTGTTGCCTGACAACACCTCGTCACACCCTGCAGATGAAACAATGACAAAACTGACCTCCTTAGGCTTTCAAGTGATGCCCCATCCACCCTATTCTCCCAATCTGGCTCCTTCTGACTATTATCTGTTCCCCAAACTCAAAAAACACCTAAAGGGACAACAATTTGGGAGTGTTCTGGAGGCAACTAATTCTGCAAAGGAGTGGTTACACCAGCAGTTGGAAGAATTTCATATGCAGGGACTTAAGAAGCTGTAGGACAGATGTCGCAAGTGCACTGACTTCCTGGGGGGAATATGTAAAATACTGTGGCAGTTACAGCTTCCTAGCTCAGTTTTTTCTGGGAAAGGCTCAATACTTATCAGCACCCCTCATAAAACAACTCCCCCCCCCCCTTTGAACACTGACCCAGAGTTTTGATGTGCCATCCAACCCTGGGAATAATACAGCAAAGTTAAGACATTACATCCAATAAAAACAGATACACTTAGACTGTATGTGTGTAGAAAATTACACTAGATCTCTGCAAATATTTACAGGACATTATTTTATCTATAGGAAAAGTCTACAGAATAGTAATTATTTTCTGAGCTTCAAGATGAAGATTAACAGTTACTCACACATCACAAACCTCTTTCACAACAGCAGACAATGGTTTGGCCTGCAATTAAAAATAAACAGCATGTAGAAATTTCATCAGAAAACCAGACCTCGCATCTGAAGAAGCAAAATTAGCTGTTTTCACTCTCGCTAAGTAAGCCAACAGAAGATAATCAAGTCTGGCAGATGTCTCATTTTGCAGAGCATACTCAGTGTACGTTCTAGGCCAGGAATCCTTCGCTAACATAAAGTACAGAATAAAAAAGAATGCAAGGTACTAACCTGATTGAGTTCTATGAGCTGGGGGATGGCCCCCATCATCTGGATGGCAATTTTCACAACATCTTTGGAGGGTGGCATGCTCCTGTCCCTCCTGAAAACTGATCCTAGAAAAGAATAAGAACACCACTATTGGACCGCAGTAATACTAAACTAAATTAAACATCACTACAAAGTGGGAATGGGAAGGACCCAGAGGGAGAAACCCCATGCATACATTCTAAGAACATCCTCCTATTTAATCACTGAGATCCCAGTTTTGCAACGTACCATTGTGCAGTTACAGTACAATTCACTTGCACAACTGCATCTATACCAAGAGTTTTGAGAAGTTACTTTCTTAGATCATTAGTCCTAGAATCTTCAAATCAGTGTGGCCAGAAAAAGCTACAGTCCCAAAATAAACTTTTCTAGGTTCTGTCAAAATCTCATAATCTCCCATCCGTACAGCACACTAGAAGACAGAGGAAAGATGGAGCAACACCAGTGTATGCTTGGAATCATCTGCTTTTCCATTTTGAGCAATCCCTGTAAGGCAGTAGAAACCAATGCAGTTCAGACAGCTTTCCCAAGGGAGACAAGAGACAAGGTAGCCAGAGGGCCTACAAATGTTGTATGCTAATATAGTATTGTGATTTAAATCTCAAACCAGAGTCCAGTTTCCAATGAATCATTAAATTCAATGGGGGAACTTGGGCTAGAGATTGTCTCTCAGCCTGACCTTCCTTGCATGGTTGTTGTAGAGAAAAAGCATGAAAGAGGACAGCTACACATGCCAACTTGAGCTAATTGGAAGAACAGCAAGATAGAAATATAATTTTAGTTATTTATATTCTACTAATAATACAAATAAAATAGAATCAATACATAAATTAAACAGTGGTAAGAGTCAAGCATTTACATTAACACATAAAGAGGAACAGTTGTGGCTTGAAGTACATCTTTACTTCCAGATATAACTACCGTGTATCCCCAAAAATAAGACACGGTCTTATATTAGAGAGGAACAGTTGTGGGTTGAAGTACATCTTTAATTCCAGATATAACTACCGTGTTTCCCCAAAAATAAGACAGGGTCTTATATTAATTTTTGCTCCAAAAAAAAAGCAGTAGGGCTTATTTTCAGGGGATGTTTTATTTTTTTCATGGACAACAATCTACATTTATTCAAATACAGTCATGTCATCTTCTGGTTGCTGCACAGTGGTGGAGGGCTGTGTTTCACTTAACAAGGGTTTATTTTGGGGGCAGGGCTTATATTACGAGCATCCTGAAAAATCATACTAGGGCTTATTTTCAGGGAAACAGGATAATCTAATTGCAAATAGTACACTATACTATTTAAAAATTATTGACTGATTGATTTGCTTGCTTGCTTCTGGGGATGATCAAGGCCTGACATGTAACATACCAAGGCAGTTTGAGTGATAAATCCTTGCAACCAAACATCCCTTTGCAAATCTCACCTCAAACTCTGCCAAGAATCTTAATTCACTGAATGAATAGGCAGTAGGCAAAAAAGGGGGGGGGGGGTTTCAAAAGCTTATGATTTATTCTTTGATTATGCTTTGAACTGGGCCCAATTCTGGAGTAAGAAAGAGTATCAGGATGCATATCCTAATGGAATCCATCAGTATTTTCCATTTCCGCATTTTCTCCTTTTTTTTTGCATAGCCTGGCATGTGGGGACAGGGAGAGATAGGCTACGCTCGCTCACCCTAGCCAACCCCACGGTGCGGTTGTGAGGACAGAGAGTCCCAAATATCCTTATAGAAAAGAGGATGATGAAACGTTTTTAGCCCCAGGGTGGGGTTCTGCTTTTTGTTTTGTTTTTGATGATACCAGGGGCACCCTAGAGAGTGAAACCAAAACTATTTTATCTGCAGTTTTGGAATCCTGCATTCCGGCCCTTCTCGAGTAACGTCTTTCCTCGGAAACTTCTTAGGGCAGAAAAGGACACGTCTCTCCCCTGAGGGTGACCGGAGAGAAAACGCTCCGCGACAGGCGACGAGCCCACACCCTCGCACGGGAAGGAAGGGGAGGGAAGGGAAGGGAAGGAGCCCTCAGGACCGACTGGGCACGCAACGACACACTCACACCCACCTCTGCAAGGGGTGCCCTTGATGGAGCCGGAGGAGAGAACGAGGAGGAGGAGGAGGGCTCGCCTTCTTGGCCCCGTCTCTTCCGCGCTGCGCGGCTCCACCTCGCCAGCCCGGCTGCCTCCTCCTCCTCCTCCTCCTCAAAACCTTCGCTGGTTCCGGGGCGGCGGCTCGACTTTCCACCCTCCACCTCGGGAAGGGCACGGAGGAAGAAGGCAGCGGCCGTCCCCGCCTTTTGGGGAGGGAACGGGAATTCGGAGCCAGCCGGCGCCTGCCGCCCACGTCGTTGCGCGACCGCGACCGGGCCGTTCCCCCAACCCAGCAGCGAGTCCTCAGGCCTAGGCGCTTGTGGTCCGTCCCCCTCAGCCCACTTCCCGCCAAACCTCCTCCTCCTCCTCCTCCTGCTGAGGGAAGGCGCCCGAAAGGAAGTTCTTGGAGGGATCCCGTCAAGGCGGGCCTCCGAGGCGCCCTCAGCCGCAGGGGCGGAAAGGCGCGCAAAACAAGAAAGCTGCGCAGCGCGGGGGGGGGAGGCGCGCATAACATTGTTCCCAACGTTGGGTCCCCAGTTCTTGCTGGACTGTAATTCCCATCATCCTCCATTGACCGTGTTGGCCGAAGATGGATGTAGTCCAGCTTGAGGGAAACCGTGGTTGGGAAATACTGGTGTAAAACAACTGTGGGGAGCTTCCGTTCCTTCAAAGGCAATAGGATTGGGACTCGCCTGATCCCTCGCCATCGGTCGCTTGGGCTAGAGACCTCCTGGTGGGAATTGCATCGGACACGTTTGGATTGCTGTGCCCTTAAATTGCTTCCTTGCACAAACTTCGCCCTCAAAGGGGGTGTGTAGCGAGACACAAATCTGCACCCTCCTGTTCCTGTCAGCAAAAAACAGCAAAAAATTGTGAAGCTAATTTCTCACTCTTGAGTTTAATCAGAGATTTCCAGGAGGCATTAAAAGGGCACTATAAGGACTGCAAGGAGGAGGTCAAACCTATTCAGTTCTGAAGGAAATCAACCCCAAGTGTTCACTGGAAGGACAGATCCTGAAGCTGAGGCTCCAAGACTTTGGCCATCTCATGAGAAGAGAAGACTCCCTGGAAAAGACCCTGATGTTGGGAAAGTGTGAAGGCAAGAGGAGAAGGGGACGACAGAGGACGTGATGGTTGGACAGTGTCATTGAAGCCACCAACATGAAGTTGACCCAATTCCGTGAGGCAGTGAAAGACAGGAGGGCCTGGCGTGCTCTGGTCTATGGGATCATAAAGAGTCGGACACGACTTAACAACTAAACAGCAACATAATATACTGTATTGATTGTCTGGCTTCTATGGGAAGCATGTATATACTGTATTCTTGATTGTCTGGCTTCTATGGGAAGCATGTTTGGTGGTCTAAGGTGTCTCCTCCCTGCACCCGGCTACACCTTAACTTCAGCCTCCATCTATCAGGCCAGTGATCAGGGAGATGGGATCTGAAGGCTTGACTACAGGGGCAGTTTGCCTGCTGTTTCTTCTACTTACAGGGACAGGCTGGTTCATTCCTACAGATGGCAAACAACATCTCTGCTGGAGCAAACCAGTCTGTTCCCAGAATGTCCTACCCACACCTTTCTGGCCCCCATCAGGGTTTCTCCCTTTTTAGTGGGGGTACCTTTTGGTCCATTTCCAGCATATGTGATTGCTGGGATCAAACAAAAAAAAACACACACCCTTTTTCTTAATTTGGCACTATCGTGATGTGGCTTAATAGAACCACTTCAATACTGGCTAATCCTCCCCTCTGCATGTAAAATTATTTTTTAAATCTCTCCATCAGTTCTAAAACATGTTTTTTTATTCCCCCCCCCTTTTCCTTTGTCTTAAAGGGCTGGTTGAGAAACTGCGTGCATCCAAATCTACCACTGTGAGTTTAATTGAACTTTTAAGACAAGGGAAAGAAGTCTACCTGCAGAAATATATCATCATTTAATCCATATATGTATCTCTGCAGTTTGCAGACTAAGAGGTATCTGTATTAGGCTGTGGTAGGCTCTGGATTGGATTTTTACCTAATATACACTTTTTTTAAAATGTGGACCGATACGGTGATTTGAAGTCTGTATCCTATTTGGATGCAAGGGTTGCACCAAATAGCATACTGTACATCCTAGGCACCCTATTTGGGCCACACAACCCCAACTATGTAGACAAGCTCTGAAAACGAAACTGTTGTGTGAAGACATACTCCCCATCCCTGGACAACTCATCCTTCTGGTTGGTATCACCACCACAGACTGATATTTCAGTCTAATCCACACAATCATCTGAACAGAGAGCACATAGCATTAGTAGCTCTGCTTCTCCTTGCTCTTTGGCTTGGAACAGAGAGATGAAAAACAGGCAGTCAGAGCCAAAATGAAGAGCTAAAGACAAAGTAGTGCCATTTTCAGTGATGTCACTGGCCCAGGCAGCATCTGCTGGTAGTCTTAGTTGCGGTGCTCTCATGGTGCCACTCTTGACTGCTTCTGGTTTGTCGAGCTAATCCTCCTATGCTTTCAACACCACATATGGCCTTGTAACAACACTTAAGTACAAACGTTTTCCTTGCTTTCCATTGTCAAATCATGGTTGGTTGGTTTGGTTTATTTTAAAATTTGAAGTATCCTACTTCCATTGGTATAGTTGCACCTTCTAAGCCTAGACTTCTAAGTTTTTCAGTATTTTTCTTTCAATTTGGTAAGGAAGAGCCATCTTCTTCTCATTCAATCTGACTATCAAGATAGCAAAGCAGATCTAGACATTCTATTTCTTCTTAAATCAGGTGGTTTATTCCTCGCAGTCATCTGGGTTTTCATAGGCCAAATTTAAATCATTTACTTCAGTCATAGAATGCAGATCCACATATTGTTTCTGAATTTACTGTAGAGTTATGCGTCTAATTTGCCTTATTGAGTCATGGCTCTTATAGGAAATTCCCATACTTAGGGACTGGGTTTCACAGTATATCCCCAAATTCAGAGGCTTTCTGCCTTTACTTCCAGCATTAAGAACAGTGGACCACGACATTAAATACAATGAACAAAACAGCTGTTTAAAAAATGAAATATAATTGCTCATTGCACATCTTTGATTCAGCCCCTTATAAAACAGGGATATAAAGATCCTTAGAAAAATCTGCAATGAAAATACATTTTACTTGATCTATTATTTTCATTTTTTAAAAGAAGGGGTAAGCAATTTCCAGAAGGCCACAACCTCATTCCTGGGCCTCGGAAGGCTGCTCCTGTGATCCTCCACTCCCAAAACTTTTCTTACAAAAATGGTGTGTACAGATTGCCAAAGAAGAAAAACCTTGTGCCCCATAAAGCCAGTCTCTCGCTCCCCATTTTAACAATATGAGTAGACCCAGGGTATCTGGGAGATTCTCAAAACATGGCAGAATCATCCTTCATACTCCTTGAAGGGCAAAGGGGGGGGGACTTCAACCCACTTTTTCAAAAATGGAGGGCACATACTACCCATTCCTGATGTAGAGCACTCTGGAACTGGAGGATGAAACTATGGGAAAAGTGCAGTAAAAATACTCTGCCCAGGAAGCTTAATACTTGAATCTCTTCACCCAGCACAGCAAGACAGCTGCCTAACAGCATCAGAGGTCATGTCTTAACTCAAGGGTAGGCAATTAATTTCTATAGGGGGCCACATGAAAAATCTGTTTGGGGGTGGGTAGTAATAGGCTCCCATTGGGTGAGGCCCTGCGGTGAACAAACTACAAGGCTGACATAGTTAACTCCCTAAACTTTTTAGAGAGTGAACTATGTGAGTGCTGTAATTCGTTCACCACGGGGGGGGGGGGAGAAAAAACTCTGACGCAGCTAACTCACCTGTCCTCCATTCCCCCACGGCCTTCCTCTCCAACTGTCTTCTATCCCGTGCAGGCGACATGATGCGTCATTATGTCGCCTGTGCAAGTATTGCTTCCAGCCTCTTGAGTAACAGTCAAAACCTCAAGAGTAACAGTGAAAATTCACGAGATCCCAGCGTCGGATCTCACGAGATTTGCTTACCGCCATGCTGGATGACCGGAGCCGGAGCTCTGGCTCACTCAGTGGCGACGGGCAGGCCAGACTGGAGCGACGGCCAGCAGGCCAGACAGGAGTGGCTCTTGGGCCGTATATGGCCCGCGGGCCTCACTTTGCCCAGGTCTGTCTTAACTTGTTCTAACAGAATGAGATGAGACAGCTTTGGAAAGGTTCTTGTTTATTCCGTTGGGGTGGGGAGATGTACAAATATTACAGGCAAGTCTTTTGCTGCAAAAAAGTATAAAAATAATCTTTATATAAGAATCAAAATTCAACCCACCCACCCGTCACCATTGTACATTGCTTCTTATGTAACTTATCTAGGACATCATCTTAGTGAGCAGCAAGTTGATAACAAAGAGGAACATTCCCAGATATCTGAAACAACTTCCATCAGTTCTGCTCACTGTGCATTTGTAAAGCACCTGAAAAACAGCAGGTTTCTTGTGAATGAGACCTAAGGGAGCCAATTTGTTGCCTCCCATGTTTGGGGGGGCCTTTTGTTCCCATTAGCCCCATCCACAATGGCCAGTAGGGTGCTACTTTCATACTTTATGGACCACCAATGCAATAACTCTCTATTCTACCTACCTAACTTGCAGGCACCTGGCAAATACTACAACGTGATACATCTGGGAGAAAGGCACAAATTAGAAGCCTCTGATGCTTAGCAAAGTCCAGCTTCTCCCAAATTTCCTGTTCCAACTCTGGTGCTAACTTTGAGTTTTCTTTCTGAGCAGGGGCACTTGGGTGGAGCTTGGCCTAACTATGCCCCAAAGCCTTCTAATTTAGGCCTTTCTCCTAGTAGTTTTTCACGTACCTACAAGGGAGGGAAAACTCTCAGAATAGAGAATTACAGTATTGGGGTTCCAGAAAATCCCATCCATAATGGCCAGTGATAATGGATTATGGGACTTGTAGCCTAACAGTAGCAGGCAATCGACTTGTGAGGAACCTCTGGCCCTCCAGCTGATAATACCCATAAATCACTTGTATCACTGGACACAGTGGCTGAGGCTGATGAGTCAAGAGAACCTGAGGGCCACAGGTTCTACTCCAGTGAAACTGGAGTCTTGTTTTCACATATCCTTGGCCATACTCAAGAAGCAAGACAGAGCAACAGGTCTGCCTGGCATATACTGGGCACTATCAGGAGAGATATGTTCCTTTGTTATGTGGCTGGCTTTAACTCAGCAGCTCATAGAACTACATCTGCATTCCTTGTCATTAAGTCCTACTGATAATGGGCTTCCACCAAAGCAGCAAGTTTTGGGTTGGGATGCAAAGAAGCTCCAGCTCTAGATTTAACTCCCTTCCATTCCCAAGGTCACCTTATAGGTAGAGCTATCCATGACCACAACAATGTGCAAAGTAAGGGCCAGAAGCTCTTAAGTTAGACGTTGGCATCTGGTTAAAAACAAAACAAACAAACAAAAAACAAATACACAAACATAGAGACCAGAATGTGGAAGGATATAGCTGCCACTGAGGTTTTATGAAGTGCAAAGGAGATCTGGTGCGAGGAAACCTCCAGATCAAGGACCAGGAAGGTAGAGGAGAAAGGGTTGTCAATGCTTGCTTGCTATTAGAAAACAAAAGGATGGGTTAAGGACAGACTGCAGACAAAATGAGCTGCATTAACAGAGTTGGCCAGATCTAATTTGCCAGCTCAGTTTAATAATTTTCCTTTCCAGATCCCCCTCAAACTGCTTGGGGCCGCACAGAGCACAGCACACATCCCAGCTGTACCTTCTTGCAAAGAGAATAATGCAGCAGGCAGTTTGGATAATTGTCTCAATTTGGAAAGTCTTTTGAGTGTGCAAAACTGGCACATTTTTGTTTTAAACTTAAGTGGCTAGAAAAGGTGCAACTTTTTTTGCTTACATTATCACTGTGCCTCAAGGTACACCAGGAATGAGAACTAAAATGCTGTTTCAGAGCATTTTCTGTGTGCAAAACCAATCCAAGTTTCCCCAGTGCTTCAATTTCTCCCTGTTCATCATGGGGAAGTGTAGAGTTGCTAAAAGGGGCACAGACTGATATAGACAGGGTAGAAGATGGGCTGAAACGTGCTCCCCAACCAACCAAAGCAAACCTGGCTGCAATATTACAAAGAGATGGAAAGTGCCTCCAGCTGTGCAGAGAAGCCCAAGATGGCTTATGTGGACCCAAGGAAGCGTTTCTGCTGTTCAGGAAGATCCGGTAGCCAGGCCTGTGAACGGAGGGCCAGGATTCAGTGAAAGGACAACTTGAATGGAACAAATCAGGGGACTCGGCGTGTGCAACACAAGAAAGAAGCTAGAGACAGAAGCTGCCAGTCCAGACATTCATCCCTGTTGGATTTGAAGTTTGAAGACTATGGCTGTCCTTCAGACAACTGGTGAAATATCTGATTTTGCAACAAGTACATAGCAGCTTGAAGTGTCATTCAAGCTCTAGCAAACAGTCTCAAAACAGAAAGGCTTTGTTTTCTTCAAAGACAGGGTTGTTTTGGAAAAACAAAATTAGTATCCCAAAGTTATCCTGCCAGATGCTGGGGTCAGAGGTTGAGGATGGGGACATCAAAGAGGTCACACACCCCTTCACTCTCGTCCAGATTGTAGATGTAATCGTGGTCACCAGGAGGAGGGGAGAGACGGAGCAAGGGAGCAAACACTGTAAGACAGAAAAAGGACAGCATTAGAGGAAATCCCATTGTAGCTATATGGTCAGTACAAACAGAAAGCGGCTTTACACTGAGCCCATCTAGGCCAATGCCCTCAACGCTATCTGGCAGCAGTTCTCCAGGGTTAGAGACAGGATTACTTCCTAGCACTAACCAGAAATCGCTAGTATTCCTTGGTCATTTCCCACTCAGGAACTAACTAGCCTAATGTATTTGCAAAGGCTTTCACGGCTGGGATCTGATAGTTGTTGTGGGTTTTTCGGGCTCTTTGGCCGTGTTCTGAAGGTTGTTCCTCCTAATGTTTCGCCAGTATCTTGGCTGGCATCTTCAGAACTCTGTGCTACTCCAGTCCTCTGAAAATGGCGGCCACAGAGACTGGCAAAACGTTAGGAAGAACAACCTTCAGAACACGGCCAAAGAGCCCGAAAAACCCACAACCACCACTAATTAGCCTAACCTTCCCAGCTACAGCGATCACATGAGATCAAGGTGTTCTGGCTGCTATGGTGATGTGTTTGTCCAGTCTATCCCAACCTGGTGTCTTGCCACATCCACCCAGTTAACTTGATCTCGCTTCTAAAGTACAGGCTTCTAAGTGTTGTTGCACTGTGACTCCCAGCCAAAGTCAATGGCAAAAAATACCGGGAAAGATGCAGCCCAACCACATCCCAAGAGTTACACATTCCTCACTCAGAGACCACTGGTAATGGTGTGGCTAAAAATCTTGTAAATAAATAAATAAAATATAAAATATGTGTGCATATGATTAACCATTCAGTTAACTACAGTTTAGCCGAGGCAATGCAAGCACCACCTTCATTTTCTTTCTCCTTCATTCTATGCACCCATACTCCAAACTGGCAAAGTGGAAACACATCAGCTTACCTTCAGAGGACATTAGTTCTTCAAGCAGCTCAGAATTCATGCATTCTGCGCAAAGGACAAAGAGCTGAATTACATGGGTGCAAATGTTGACGCCCAAGTTGGATTCCTTGTTGTCACAAACACACCCCACCACCACCTCTTCCCCTTGGCTTCATCTCTCAGTTGCATCAGCAACTCTTCCTCGGTCTGGGTGCCCTTCAGCAATTTGGGGCAACAACGCCTATCAGCTCCAGCCAGCATGGACAGCTGTCAGGGGCTACTGGAACTGCCATCCAAAACATATGGAGGGCACAAAGTTGAAAATGGCTGGTGTAAGCCTAAGATACAGAAAGGCACCTTGATCACACATACAAGTGGGTAAACTGGGCTTCCATCGTGAGCTTTGTATGGGAACCCCATCAGAAAGCAACAGCTAGTCAAGGCCAGGAGCTAACCCACTTTCAGCAGCTGCTTCCTTTCCTGCTATTTACTGGCTCTGATAATGTAGCAAAACAATAAATGCTTTAGTGGTGTGTTTATGTCGTGGAAATCGGCATCTACAGAGTGGGCAACTATAGAGGAACCAGAGGCTATGCCTACTCCAAGATCACAAAGGATTATACCCCACTCTTTTTTTCACTGTCCATTAAAAAAATGTTCTGCTCCTAAAAAAGGGAGGGGGCAGGAATAGTCTTTGAAGACAGGTCATTCTTATGCCAATAATGTTTTAGTTAGGTGGTCCCTAAGTACCTTGGTAATAATTCCCACCCCTTCCTTGTTTTTTTATTTAAAGCAACCAGAAGCAGAAACCAGCACAGCAGGTACATTCCTGTTAAAACATGTGAGCAAAGTGCAGCCTTCTAGATACAGTATGAGGGCAATGCTCATCACCCCTTGCCATGGGCTACGTTGCCTTCGTCTAATGGGACTTGTGACTGGCAACATCTAGACAGCCATTCTTCACCCACCTCTGGACTAGAACATCTCCTACTGTGCTATGTCTCCACAGGCAATTGTGTTTATTTTCCCCACAGGAAAGCATCAAAAAAACAAAAAACAAAAAACCAGAGATGTTCTAGAGGTAATTTGAAATGGTACAGTTGATGCTCTCACCCTCTTAACACTCAACTACAGCTGAGGCACAGCACTTCAGAAGGCTAACAGCATTTGAGTATTCAAACAGAAACAGATAACCCCAGCCTGCCTCAGGTGAGAGTACAGCCCTCGCCATCCTGAGTAAGATGACCACAGACCTTGTTACTGTCAAATGATGGGAGGTGTAGTCCAACGCAGCCAAAACGTTGCAGGTGGCTGCCAGGGAAGGCTGGGTCTGGTCAACCCTCTGCAATCAATGTTGATCTCTCACCCCAAAATGTTTGCCTTTTCCATGTTATTTTAATATGGAGAACTTGCTTAGCTTAGAGTCCTACTTCATACAGAGAATCAGAACCCAAAGAGATGAGAGATAAACTGGGGCCCATGGACAATGTAGGTACGATAGCATAAATGCACACCATGAAAGGTCTTGCATTTGCTCTTATTCTAGAAAAGTGCTTCCCAATCATGGGTTCCCACATATTCTTTGACTACAACTCCCAGAAATCACGGCCAGCACACCTAGTGGTGAAGGCTTCTGGAAGCTTTAGTCGAAGAACAGTTGGAGTTGTTAGGAATTCAACATGCAAATGAAGGCATGATCACCTGAGAAGAAGGAAGTGCTTGTTAACTGACATGCTTGGTAATTTGCATGACCTCCCTCCTCTTCTTTTGTGGGCAAGGATGTTGTTGTTTAGTTGTTTAGTCGTGTCTGACTCTTCGTGACCCCATGGAACAGAGCACGCCAGGCCTTCCTGTCTTCCACTGCTTTCTGGAGTTGGGTTAAATTCATGTTGGTCGCTTCTGTGACACCATCCAACCATCTCGTCCTCTGCCATTCCCTTCTCCTCTTGCCTTCACACTTTCCTAACATCAAGGTCTTTTCCAAGGAGTCTTCTCTTCTCATCAGATGGCCAAAGTACTGGAGCCTCAGCTTCAGGACCTGTCCTTCCAGTGAGCACTCAGGCTTGATTTCCCTCAGAAATCCTTGCAGTCCTGTGTATCTAGCCCAGGGGAGACTCCTCCAGTACCACAATTCAAAAGCATCAACTCTTTGGCGGTCAGCTTTCTTTATGGTCCAGCTCTCACCCCTCCTCTATTTTCAATTGTTTTTCCTCTGCCTTTTTAAGGTACCACAAGCTTCTGGGACATCTAAGAGGAAGGATGCTATGTCTCCTTATATCCGCTATGTTTTTTCACCCATGCAGCTTGAGAGAACCCACCTTTTGTTTTCAATTTTTTCAATTGTTTTCGTTATTTGTGTTTGGGAATTTGTTACACATTTTTAACTCCAAAAGTTACTACAGTTTCCAATGTGCAATTAAAGAGAATTAAAGATATTCCTCTCTGCTGGTACTACAAAGCCCATCATCTCACAACTCTCACAAGAACATCTGGGGATCCAAGGTTGTGAACCATTGTTCTAGAAGCCTCCAGCAGAGTGTCACTCTGCCACAAGACCTGTTGTTTCTAAACCTTCACGTTGTCATTGTTTCTGCTTGAACACCAAGTCCTAGGCCCATGAATACACAGGAGATGAGACAAAGATGAAATAGACAAACAGCCATTTATGCTACCAAGAAAAAGCAAAGGGCATACAGTTCAGCCCAAAGGGCTTTTAGCAACGCACCTCGGCCTGGTTCAAACATCTCTGAAAGCTCTTTGGGAAGTTCCAGTACTGAAAAATAAAACAATTCATATTTTTATTCTGATTTTTATGTTCCAAGAACTCCTGAAATGATACTATCTATAATTCATTCTCACTACCCCTCCTTTGTATTTTGTCCCCTGTGCTCCTATGAAACCTGGCATCGAAGCTGGCAAGAGACTGTACTTGCTAGCTAATGCAGTGACAAATGTTCCTCAGGCGATCTCCGTCTCCCCAGAGCTGCTGCCCTGCAGATTGCAGAGTTGCAACTCTCAGATTTCCCCTGCAACCCGGAGAACATACCCTTACCTCCCCCATTGGCTGGAGTGGGCACTCCAGGAGTTGTAGTCCAAAAATATTTTCCCACACTTTAGGTTCTAGAACCCTGCCCATCCCAAGACCAATAACAGAAGATGACTGACTTTCTGTAGGGTCTGGCTTGATCGGCTCAAAGGAGGTAGAAGGACTGGGCAGGACGGAGCTACTGTCCAGCAATGCAGACGACTGGAGGGGCTGTGTATCCAGCCCAGCTGGGGGACTGGCTGACGCTGTGGAGGGAGTGAGAGGGTCCAACTCCCCACTCCTTTGGGATTTTGCTATCAAGGTGCCGCTTTCTGGAAAGAGAGAAAAGGTCAAATATATAGACAGCAACCATTTTTCAGTATTTCAGAAATGCCAGACTGTCAGCCACTGAAAAGTACATGGTACAAATCTGGCAAATATCAGGACAGTGACTGGCACAGCCATCAAAGGCAGATTGATGCTCATCTGCATCCTTTTGGATTTATAGGTAAATACAACTTATATCAGTTGTCATGATCACCTCTCCCTATCTTACCCATCTTACACAGAACCTATGACTACAAGTCCCAGTTTCCTCCTGTTTCCTCACATCAGTCATCCATGGTCTAAAAGGAGACCAGTTCCTTCAAAATTCATTACCCAGTTGCTGAAAACTGGCTCTCACCATAAAAAAAACACCACAGAGTACTTGTTTAAAATGTGCTTTGTTTTAATCCCACAATTTCCAAAAAAGTTATTTTCCTTTTACAGTGGGACACTGAGATCGTGTGACAATGACCAGTGCTCAAAAATGGAAACTTCTAATACTGAAACTCCATAAAAACTCCAAGCATCTTGGCCAGTGCCACGCTGGCCAAATCTGATCTCAGTCCCACATAGAGTAAAGCTCTTTGTAACAAATGGGACCTGTTAGTCACCCTTTATGTAAGTCCACTGATTTCAGGGGACTGCTGAGTTGTGATTAATACTGGATTTAGATGAAACTTTCAGAGAAAGCAAACAATCCACAGATTAACTTGAGGCACATTCCGGGACTAAGGAGCAGGATACCAGTGTACAAAAAGAAAAAGCATATGCATATACTTAAATACTGTGTACTACACAAAACAAATATTTGTCCTTAGCAGATCCACCACAAAAATAAAGTGCCACTCTCTGGAGCAGTTATGAAAGCAATTTTCACAAATATCACCAGAAAACATGAAAAGAGCAGCCATTTGGAGCTCAGAGGCGGACTGGCAACTACTGGGGGCCCAAAGCATATGAACACTCCCAGACAGTGAAAGAAATAACAGCCAGATTGTTAAAACTGGTATGGACTACCATAAACACATTACTTCAGTTGCACGCTTGGACTACAGTTCTCCAGTTAACTCGTTTTATTGAAGGTGCTTTACCCTGTTTTCTCCAGATGTTCAGAATATTTAACATAAAGAGAAACAACAAAAAAACTCCAAATTATAAATTATAACTAAAATATGCATGAAACAGAATGACTTCAAAATTTTGACCAAACTGACACCCTCCAGATGTTGATTTCATCTTCTATACACTCTGGCCAGCATGACAATTGGTCAGGATTCTGGGAGCTATAGTCCAAATCACCTTAGAGGGCACCAGTTTGGGCAAAACTGATTTAAATCATCCCTAAAATCCAAGGATAAGGAAACACCAGCATCCAAGGGTTACTAATACAATTCCCACAACACTTTATAATTGGACTTGCTGGATGGGACTGATGAAGCCAAAATGCAAGAAAGGCAGGCTAAAATTTTAAATAGAACATGAAGATTGGAGCCTTCCTATGTTCCCTTGAGAAGCGGAGAAAATATCAGGGTTACTGGCAAGAGCACTAATCTACTATAGCAAGAATGATAGTATGGCTGGTTCATTTTGTCAAAAGCCAAAAAGTGGCAAGCAAGCCACATGTTTTTTCCCCAAATACAGCCCATTCAGCTCCCCTTCACTAGCCTCTGATCCTCCCTCAAACCCTGGGGGGGGGGGAATTCAATTCCCAAAATGGCTATCATGTCCCAAGGGGGTACACAATTCGCCCTCTAAATGTAATCATTCCCCAGACATTCTGGGGTTCAAAAAGGGCCTTTTAAAAGACACCAGAAGTGACCATTTGCTATGCTGGAGACTAAACAAACTCCTTTCCCAGGGTTTGGGGAAGGGTGCGGCCCACAAAATCCCAGGATAGAACAGACATGCCCACCCTTAGCTCACCTGTACCACTGGCCGTTTTCTGTGCAAGAGAAACATGGTCCTGCGTGCTGCTGGATGTGGGCGTCGAACAATGGGTACCGCTGGGGACGCACGCTCCACGAGAATGGGTAGCAGGTGGTTTTTGAGGTTTCAAAGGAGTGACCGACTGACACTGAATAAGGTCTTCAGGGGGAGGGACAGGAAGTACTACTGGAGGAGAGCTCCAGGCATCTTTGTTGACTAGCAGAACATCAATGGGACCGCTTGTGCTTTTCAGGTGGATCTGGTACTTTCTTTGGCCGTTTAAGCCCTAAAGAGAGAGAGAGGGTAGGAAATGTTGCCACTCAGCAGAGCATCCATGCCAGGAAATGCTCTCTCTGCTTAAAACACTGGAGAGCTATTACTGCTAATCAAAATAGATGATATTGGGTAAGATGGACCAAAGCCCTGGTTCAGTATACAATAGCTCCTTAAGTTCCCATATTCCAAAACATGCCAGCTATTCATCCACACTGAAGCTAAAACCAAACATCCTGAAAAACTCAAGAACATGTTATATAAACAGTCAGACTCTTGGTATTGTCTACCTCCACCTCCTACAAACTGGTGGAATTCACTCAAATTATCCTCTGGGCATTAGACCTCAATTCTCACAAGCCTTTGAACCTTGGTCCCCGTGGTTCTAATATGACCTCTACATAATACTATCTTGTGCCTTCTGATTTTTTTGTTACTGGGCTAATATTTTTTAAACACATCTTCTTGCACCTTCAGGATTCTCAGAACCCATGCCAAACAGAAACAGATTTTGCACTTTAAAGTAGTATTTTACCCCCCACAGCAGCATGAAGCTATAGTAAAAAGCATTCCGCATCACCTCTTTTTCCCAAATAAAATATGAATAAAAAGTACTATGCTTTGCTACTCATATTTGCCACGTACCTCAGGGACAGGAACTTCTAACTGAGTGCCTGATGGGGCTCGAATGGCTAACAGTGTATCACCTGAAACAAGAGATCAAACAAAGGACTCAGTACACTAAGCTGAGCGCAGCACAGAGCAGGAGACAGGCGTACGGAGGTACTAGAAACAGGACATCATACTTTTGTGGGGCTACAACGATCAGAATAACCTAGCCAGTATGGCCAGTGACCATGTTGGTTGGGTTATTCTGCAGCCATCTCTGGAAGACAGGCCTTCTCTTTTGTAAAGGAGACCATCAACCCTTAAAGACTATCAGACTATTTCTTAAGATATGGGACATAATGTGCCTCCCATATTTGCTTCAAATTTCCCAGATAAAGAAAGGTAATGCAAATAGTTATATAAAATCCAGTTGTACTTCTTACAAAAGGGGAAGGTGATTACACCCATAATGACCTTCTCAACAATGGGAAGACAGACAATTGATTGACGAGTCTAAAACATCACTCCCAAAACCAGGTTAGCTCCATCTTGTGTAATCACAGCAACAGGACAAAGCCCTTCTTCAGATCTGAGGGCAGAAGACAAGCTTATGCGATAGGCTAACATACCAGGCAGAAACAAAAGAAAAATTAAAAATAGACTAAGGATAGGCTAAGTAGCACACAGAGAATTCTGTCCTTAATCTGCCAGCATCTACTGCCCAAGACAGCTGCCTCGCTCTTTCTAACAGCAGGGCTGGCCTTGCGTAGGACTCAGTGACTAAGTGAGGTGACATCCCCAGAGGAAACTTGAAAGAGCATTCAGTCATGGGACAGGCAACTCAGCCAAAGACTGTTGTGGTTGGAAGTCAAGAATGGGATGCTTCCCTTCATTTCTGAGACAGATCATTTCTTTTTTTAAAAAATGCACCTTTGGAAGGTGGAATTAACTCAAAAGACCAAAATAGAGGCTCCCTGAGGCATCTAATTACCTTCAAAGGTTGTGAAAGGCAGCTTTTCTAAGACAGCTTTTCACAAACTGGTGCTCTTAAAGTGTTGCAAAACTACAAGAACCATCAGCCATTGACTGTATGATTAAGGGTCACTGATGATGGGAGATAAGAGTCCAAAATATCTGGAAGACAGCAGAATGGAGGGCAGTCTTAAGTGCAAAATAGGTCAGAGAACTACACAAACCAAGGGCTTTTGAGAGGCAGGGCTTTGTTGCGGTGCTGCCAGTAGCTCCAGAGAAGAGCTCTCTCTGGAAAAACTGGAACCTTCCGGTCCGGGATCCCCTTTTTGAAATGGGGATCGAAGGAGAGTCTAGGAGAAGTCTCTCTGAAGCAGATGGTGAGCAGCAGGAGAAAAAAGGGATGCAAACCCGGACTTCTTCCCTCTGAAGAAATCACCCAGCACGGATCGGAGCAGGCGCCATATTTGGCACAGAGCCGTGAGTAACCCTTTATCGGGGAGAGGAGAACAACCAATATAAGCTTAAAATATATAACAACTAAGTAAGCTGAAGCCTTTGATTTATGAAACAGCCCCATTAAGCTGAAAATAAGAATGAAAATATTTGGCTGAAAGAAGAAAAGCAGCAACGAGCCTATCTTATCAGTCTGCCTCAAAAGTGAAACTAACTTTCCTCCCCAAGTGAACTCTTAATATAGCAGGCTGATTTCAAAGCCGAGAGAGTGAGACGGAAAAATAAATCTTATGTTTCTGGAAAAGAATCCCAGACGGTTCTAATGCCATCGGACAGGATTTAAGAGACTTGATTTTCGTGAATGCAGTTTGGCTGGGACATATTTCTCTTTGCCTTTTCCTGGACTCTGTGAATTGTTAATAACAGAATCTGGTTGTTTTCTGGAGAAGAAAGAAGGAGCTGATGTGGTCGACTGGACTGAGGAGCATCAAGGGGTTAATGGAAAGATCATAAGACGGGCTTCAAGGACAACTATT